AAGTCCCGGCTGCTCCAGCAGGCCGGGGGGGCTTGTGAAACATCCAGCCCCACGGAAACTGTAAATGTTGTGGTTTTTGTTTTTAAAGTGTTGTCTTGGCTAGTCTTCCCCCTTCCCTTGTCTATTGTGAGCCGCCCGGAGTCCTTCGGGAGTGGGCGGCATACAAGACAAATAAATACAATACAAATACAAATACCTCACCCACTCTCATGGCCTTCAGAAAAGCTGTCAAGACCTGGCTTTTCCGGCAGGCCTGGGGCTGTTGACCTCATTGTTGAGGTCCAGCCCCAACTGAAATTTGTGTTGTTTTTAACTTGTCTTATTTTATTTCATTTCATTTCTTTCCCCTTCTGTAAGCTGCCCGGAGTCCTCCGGGATTGGGCGGCCTATAAATAAAATTAAACCTTAAACCTTAAGCCAATCACTTCACTAGCCCTAGGCAAGAGGCGGTGGCACTTTTGAATAGTGGATTTTTACCCAACACAACATACATCCGCACTTTAAAACCAGGAATACAAATGCACAGACACCAACAGAGCAATGTGGCATATGCAACGCACTGCAGCAAGATATGTCCAGACCAAAACAATCACTAAACCAGGAGGTCCTCAAACTTTTTAATCGGGGTCAACTCAAGGTCCCTCAGATTGTTGTCGGGGTCATATGAGCTAGGTGGGTGTGACTAGGTGATCATATGACTGGGTGGGCGTGGCCAATTTAGCAGTCCATTAAATAATATAGACAAATTAAACTTTATTTTGCTCCTCGGGGTGTTTTATTTACTTTTGTGTGCATGTTGCTCTTTCGGTTGACTTTTCTTTTTATTAGATTGTTTAGGAAAGTAGTGGTCCACTTCAGGAAACACTCTCTCCGTCCCCGTGTCTGTTCCTCTGCCTCTCTCTGTCCCCGGGGAGGGAGGGACCCCTGAACTGGTGTTGGGTGGTGGAAATCTGATGTCTGGAGTCCAACCAGCAGCGTGCCGAAGACCAGCTGGGCGGTGGGGAGGCGGGGCAATCCTGCAGTCTCCCCAAAAGTAACACAACTCTTTCGATTGAAACTAGTCGGGCTGGTGGGTGGGCAAGCGGGCGGCCCTCCTCCTCCAATCCAGTCCTCCTGCAGCACTCTGCCAGCCGCATGGAGGCTCCAGGAGGCCTCCGCACAATCCATTTTTGGCCTCCAGAAGCCTTCTGCCAGCCAAAAACAAGCCCGTTTTTTGGTCTCCCTGTCTCTAGTAGCACTCTACCTTACCTTCCAGTTCCAGCCCACGGGTCTTGCGAAGGTAAATCCTGCATTCGGCTGAAGGGTGAGGGCCAGTGGAAGGATGGGGCAGCCTTGTGATCCCTTGCGGGCCACATTAATGGCCCTACGGGCTGTAGTTTGAGGACCCCTGCACTACACAAATGCATGGCACAGAAAAGAACAAACTCATAAGGACAGGATTCAGCAGTTCATCTGCATCTTAAAGAATTGAATTGAATTGAATTTATTATATTTCTATGCCGCCCTTTTCCCCGAGGGGACTCAGGGCAGCTCATAATTCAAGTCAGGGGGGGGGGAGGATACAAATAGGGCAAAAAAGACATGGAAAGACAATACCACAATTTAAAAGCAACTCAACAGACACACCATTCGAGCGGGGACAGGAACTCATC